TATGTATATATATATATATATATATATATATCATAGTATGCTGCGTAGCACTAAGTATATATAATTTTACTAAGTATAATATATATATATATATATATATAATTATTATTATTATTATTAAATAATTTAACTGCCTTGAATTATTTTAGTTACTGGGAATCAAGTGCCATTCAAATGTAAGATGATGAATAGCTCTTTAATAATATTAATGCAATTAAGTTAGCACTATAATATAAATATAACGTTTAATTATCCTTTATTATTGATATATAAATATGATATATACATATATATGTATATATAGGCCTATATACTGTTTTTGTTTGTATTGTATCAAATTCGATAATATTATATTTTTCTTTGTTGAAATATGTTTGAAAAGAATATACTAGAATCATAAACCGAGTATTACAAATATCATTTTATCTGTATTCACCTATAATAATAATAAATAATCGTTATAAAGTAAATCATTTCATGTACATTGCAAATTCAGATATGCATTGTATGTTCTTGAAACATATCGAGGCTTTTTTTTTTCGGTTTAACCTGGTTGTTCTGTGTTGACTGTTTTGATGTGCTACATCATATTTTATTCTCTGTTGAAATTTATCGATTATTCAAATAAATTCAAATTTAATCAAATCAAATCATAAATATCATGGGTATATACAATGGAAACAGCATATTGGAAGGGATCAATAACGTACAGTCATCTAATGAATTCTTAGAACTGTTCGAGATGGAAGTTAAATCTTAGATGAGCAACAGGCCTGATGGTAACGGGCCGGGTGGAAGCGGACAAGGTGTCAAAGGGCCTAGACCCCAATTATACATATGCCTATGTCTGTCTCTTATACACATCTAGATGATAATAGTGGTGATGCTATAATGTGTATTTAGACCGTTGAACAAGAGGCCACTGCAGACAACAGAAGATCTTTTTTCACACTCACAGATATATTTAAGGTTCAATATATAGGCCTTTATACATTCCTAGAAAAAATACATTACAATACATTACTAGATAAAAACATTTCGGGCAAATAGGCCTAATTTAAAGTTATGAATATTCATAACATACCATAAGTAAACAATACTGTGACAGAATGTGATCTCACCTCATATATTCTGTTGTTAATTCCGTGATACCAACAATGTTTTCAATGCTAAGGGCGGCTTCTTTACTCAGAACGCTCACGTTACCGTAAATACTGTCGAAAAGGTTATCGTAAAATGTGTTAAAGTATTTATCAGTGCCAGACTCATTGGTAAAGTCAGTATTGGAGACCATATCCATGACTTCATCTTGTACGGCTTTACTATCGCACATTACGTGTGTACGTGCGCGTTTCTTTACGTCATGATAGAATTCTGCGTCATTATAGAATTCGGAGTTGATACTCATCGAGCTGTTCTTGCTATAAAGTACTTTGAACATGTTGTCCGTAATTTTCTTTTCAACGAAAGTAAACACATCAAGAGTAATTTTCCGCAAATATTTAAGTAATTTATTTTCATTTAGTTGGAAGCCTCGGAAGGTAGCGTTCAAAAATGAAGGTGTTACGGCGACGATGAATTCCTGTTTTCGTTTCGAATTAGTAAATGTGATCTGCCTGAGGAAAACGAGGTATAGAGGTAATTAAAAATATACGTTAGTAATAAATTACAATATCCGGCAGGAAAAGAAGTCCTAATTAATTATTTTACCATTATTTGTATCTGCATTTTGTTGTTCTGACATGTTTTCATTGTTTAGTGCATTGATAGTACCGCACTGTAATTATACGGGTTCCGCGGGCCCGTTGCCACAAGGCCCTTTGCCACCCGGCCAGTTGCCACCTAGGCAAGTTGCCACCCGGCTTTTTACCACAAGACCCGTTGCTACCCGGCACTTTGGCACCCTAGGCCCGTTGCCACCTAGGCAAAGTAAGTACACACACACACATACACCCACATATTATTATTTCTAAATACATACTTTTAAATACATCATGTACGAATACGCTAATTAGGACTACTAAAGGCATATTTTATAACTGCAACGAATTGTCTTTGTTTAAATTAACATCAAAGAAATCAATCCATTCATTTCATCCTTCAGTGCAGATTTTGTGGCAATGGGCTTATGGGTTGCGAGGGACCGGGTGGCAAAGGCCTGGTTTGAACGGACCTAGGTGGCAAAAGGCCGGGTGGCAAAAGGCCGGATGGCAACAGGCCTGATGGTAACGGGCCGGGTGGAAGCGGACAAGGTGTCAAAGGGCCTAGACCCCAATTATACATATGCCTATGTTGTGGTATGGAAATTTAATAATCTCTATAAGTCTCTATTATTAGGCCTAGGAGTAAATATTTAATAGTTAGTTATAAGGTAAGCAAATATACATGACCTGAAGACAGACTTGATATTTGGCGATAAGAACATACTATAATAGATGGAGATAACTAAACACAGAATGGCAAACTCAAGGAAGAAGAAAGCCAGGCCAAGAGGGAGATGGAGCTTGAGGCTGTGGGAAAGGCAAGGGGACAGTCAGTGGCTTAAAGCCGGGGCCGGGGCCCTGCGGCTTTCTGAGACTGGTGACCCTCTTTTTGGATCCCGGTCGGCTCCAGTGCAAGATATAATTGCTGGGCCTTCTGATTTGAAGCGTCAATCAAGGCCTTCAGGCCTATGACTTGGGGACCGCAAACGTCCACAGATTGTATACGAAAAATATATTTCACTAAGTGCTTCTTTTTTAAATTTATTTACTAAGCTACATCACTGCACACGCAACGAGCAAAGGTAACAGAAAAACAATACAGAAAATGCAGCGAAAGGGAATAGATGAACAGGTTTGAAGCGCCTCTACATCCCCCTTGCACATTAATGGTTACAACATACTACATAAAAAGGTATAAAAAAGAGATATACATTGAACATTATAAAATATATATTTTTATATTATTGCACAGAAAATCATTTAATTATCATTAATTTAATTAAACTAATACATACAATAACTTTAAACATAGAAATATTTACCACCACCCCACCCCCCCAACCTTCCCTCGTACTATGGTGATCCTATTTTAAGTCATCAAACTTGGCCACCCAATTTCAATTCATTAATTTTTCCATGAATATTCTGCTATTAAAAATATTTAATATAGTAACCAATAAGAGAGATGGAATTGTTATGAAGAGTTGACTGTACTGTAAAGTAAAATCAGACCATCAGCCAAATGCAATAGTTTTATTTATTACTTTATTATTATTATTATTATTATTATTATTATTATTATTATTTAATAATCATGTTTCATGTTCAAAACCAAGCTTCTGTGATAACACATTTATTGAAAATCCACTGTAGGTCACCAATACATAAATTGTGCAACAAACTTATTTTCTATAGAGTGGAATACAACATTCTATAGAAAATATTGAAATTATATAGAATACGTAAACTCTATAAAACATTTCTATACAATTTTTTTGCCTCTATAGAGTTACATAGACCTCTATATAAAGTTCTATAGAATTCTATAGAGCTCTATAGAACTTATTTGTATGGGCACCAATTCGATTCTTGGATTTTAGATGTGATCGTTTTTTAATCAAGACAAAATAAATGATATGATATCAGTGGCGGATCCAGGAAGGTGGAACAGGGAAGGCCTTTCACAGATGGATGGTTTATACAACCGGTGTTGGGGGCTAAGGTAGAAAAATTTGTTATTATGGCACCTCTTAGATAGCTGACAATGACACTTACAAAATGTGAATATAATTTTCTTTTTATCTTCCCCTTTTATCCGTCTCTGGATAACATGATAGGCCTATATGGCCAGTCGTTGTCAGAAACACATTATGATGTTATGTATCAACAGAGATCTTTTGGGTCAGGATGTTAGATCGAGGACCCAATCGGTAGTAGCAACTTTGGGGTTCCTAGTAGTTGGAAGCCTTGGGGACAGTTTCACGAAGCGCATAGGTGTTACGCCACTGGGGACAGTGGCATGGAAAAGACAAATGACAGTGACAAGACAGATGTGGATTTGGCAGACAGACGTGATTTGGGATACACATTTTTTTTTATTAAGACCAGTAAAATTTTGCCAGGGCTCAGTGTTCTTATTTTTTTTTTGGCCGATTTCAGGCTCAAAATGTTCTTATTTTGTTCTTATTTTACACACTTTTCAAACATAGATAAATATTATTGTACAGCAGTATACACTGTACTGGAATGTAGGTAAAAAGTGGCCCTGGAAAAAATGGCCACAGAAAAAAAAGGCCTTGGAAAAATTGTCCCATAAAATAGGCCCCATAAATGACAGGTAGATACACCTATACTGTACTGTATTATAGAGGGTATTATATAGACACACCTACTACACATAAGGCACAGTTATAATTTTTTTGGTTCTTCTAGTTTTTTTAAATACAAATCTCATTTGGCATTATACTTCAGTCTCAATTTGTTCTTAATTTTTAAGCAATTTCAGCCTCAGTGTTCCTATAAAATGTGTTCTTAAAAAAAAAAAAATTTAAAAAAATGTGTAACTAGTCTATCTTTGTCCAGTAGTGGGACGTTACAGGCTGAGAATGAGAATGAAAATGAGAATGAGAATGACATACTGTAGGACATAGTCACATAGATACACTTAAATCAATGTTTCGTAGGCATATTAATAATATTACTGTACATTACGTTTAAATGTTAACCTAATGTTTTACCGTATTTTCCAACCGAGTGATTTTCCAAAGTAGTCCAGTCTGTTTGTAACGTATAGAGTGTTTGCGACGCTTAAAGATGGAAAATTGCTAAAAGACAGCGTTTTATGAAAGTGTACTGCTTCGCATGGCTCTGGACAATTACAAATTTTGTGCTTTTCTCTAGAAAAAGTGTCTGGAATTAAATAGAAAAACATATATTATATACAATATTCAGTTGCGTTTAGCCATATTTCTTATAAACATTTTCAACAACTGTAATGATGTTTATGTATTATTGCAAGTAAATTATATACCCTTTTCGGAAGTCGCCTAGTCGTGAATTACGGTAATCTAGCTTGTAATAAATCACTGATTTACTACATTTAATTATAGATAAATTTTAATTTGGCTTTAAAAGCGATAGTGTCTAACGTTTCTTCAAAAGTTGACATTAGGGAGCTTTTGATAGCACGACAACGGTGGGACGTAGAACGTAATGACGTCACTAAAAGTCATCTGCGCATGCGAGAACGTTAAGGTCACCTCGTCAAGTAGATTCTGGAACGCAATTTGGCCAAATCTTACGTATGCAGAGAACGTAGGACGCCGGTTAGGACGGTCACGCGTGAGTGATTCCGTTCTAGCGTTGCACGAATCGAAAGCTCCTTTATGGCAGAATATCACGCCGTAATTCTCAGATGAATAAAGGTTACCGTGCTCAAAATGACCAGCTTCTTACTCCTTCAAGATCCATAAAGTAACTTGCTAAAATGTCAAATAGCCTCCAGTGCGGCCCTAATATTAACTCTCCATTCCCTATGACTTATGCTATAATAGTACAGACCTCAAAAGCCCTAGGCCTCATAACAGACTTTATTTATAAAGCATCATTCCATCCTGAAAGTTGCAAATGTACTTGCTGTTATGTGTGAAGGAAATAACAAATGATATATATATAGGCCTAATCACCTTTATGTCCGCTGTAACATTCCTTGTATTGGATTGCTGAGCAGAATGGTATTGAGCCTGAAAGACGTAAATATATGAACATGTACAATATGTCACAATATAAATAGTTATATACATATTATTACAATACAGAAATATAATAAATCTGATGTTACAATTTTGGATTTTGAACACCTATATAACAAAAGCTAAATTTCATGATGTGCAGGGACGAATCCGTCAACTCCAAGCTACAGGATAATTGTTAACTGAACTCCAGTAAAACTTAATATACTCAAATTAATTCTACTGTAAATTAGTATTAGCCTTCTGCCAATGTCAATAGCGTGATTGATGGAAGTGTGACAAAAGTATTAGCTTTGAATATACAGCGCAAGTGTGTAGATCACTCTTTGTAGCATAATATTGAATCATCAACAGCATGAACCTAATCTATATAATATTTATATCTGCAGTGAACAAATCAAAAAAGAAAAGTTATACCAATTTTTGTTGTATTTTACTTGATTTATTAATAGGTTTCTTGACCAATTTAATAAATGGATTTTTAATTGATGCTGTGTGAGTGACAGTGCTAGGATTAGAATACATAATAAAGAACTTTTACCAAACAATCTTACCATTGGTTGCAAAGAAAACACAACAGTTGCATAATTCCATAATATAGTTGGTTTCACAAGTCTGCAGGCATTCTGACCTGGTGTAGTGTTTGTCAGCAGGGGTTGTGGCGTCATACATTATCGGTACGCAGTCGCTGTACGGTGCTGGCATTGAAATGATCTAAATCTCAGCAAACATAAATAAAGTGAACATTATTATCTATAAAGGCTCTGTGTGATATGATAAAGATAAACTCTAAAACCGTCTTGCGGTAATGCTGTAAATATATATAAAAATTTTTTAAACGAGAAAGACAGAACTTTTCAGAGATGAACATCAAGGAACAGGCACACCTAACTATCTAGTGGGCCATGTGAAGTAACGATATTATTTCATATATTTTGTGGTTTTATTTTTCGTAGAATTGGCACTCTGTTGCATATAAATGCAGATTAATGAAATCACTAATTTATTCCAGAATAACAGTACTGTATTCTCGATTACAGGTCTTACCCGGCAATCTTTACTTCACACGTTCGTATATCATTTATAATGTACGAGCACTTAAAGTTGTAATTAATTTTTATACAAAAAATAATCAAATTATAAACAATGAACGTTTTAATTAATTGCAGCAGCATATCGAGCTGTTAACAAGCGATGATTTACTTTGTTTTCAGTTTTAACAGAAAATCTCCAGAATTAAAACGTGAATAAAATAATAATTAGGATAAACTCACATGGCGTCTCTTTATTCCTATTGATGTGCTCATTCCCACTGCGACATCGAGACCCTCAGATGTGACGTCAATGACATGCTCATGATCGGTAATCGATACCCTGAACCCGACTTTCTCTCTTGGTGCTGCAACGTATTGCAGATGCTCGGCGTCTAAAATTAGGCTCAATCCATTTAACGGACCTATGAAAGTATAAACAACACTTTCTGGTATTATTGCTCTTCTTTATTTCATGTTGTACAGTTTATATTCTATAATGTTTCTTACTTATGTTGCACATCAGAATGGTGTATAGTAGGCGATGGCGTGGCGCCTTGTACAGAAAGTGTATTATTAGGGAGTTTTTGAGTTTGTAGGACAAGGTAACGCTAAATTACTCGCTCGTCCATGACTGTCCAACGTTCTCTGCACAACGCGACGTATAATTATTTGGACCAAACTGCGTCCAGGAATTTTCGAATGCGCAGATGACGTCTTGGTTTGGTTTCCATTCAATCGCTACAAGCTATCGCCGATGGATTTCGGTGATGCTGATTGATCTGTCGAATCGGGGGGAGCCTTCCCGATTGCGTCGGGGACCCGGTTTCCATAGAATCCCCCCCCCCCTACCTATCAGTCGCCGACAGTTGCCGGGAAGGTTGAACCTGGTACAACTTTTCCGATTGCGTTGCAGACGAATCGTCGAGGTGCCCTTCCAATCGCGTCGGGGCAGCTAGCAATGCAACCTGATTCGTCTAAAGTTGAACTAGGTTCAACATTCCCGACAACTGTCGGCGACTGTTGCCGATAGGGACTCTAAGGAAACAAGTTTACGCAGTACAACGATTGTATTCAAAACACTATAATAGCGACAGTGCATTGATGGAAACCAAGCTTAAGAGAGCCTTCCCCCGACTGCGTAGGGGACATCTATGCAGACAAAGATTGCACTGAAAACACTGTAGCGACAGTGTGGCGATTGTATGTAAACCAAACTTGAAGCCTGGTTTCCTTAAAATTGCTACCATGTCTTGCTTAATTCAACCGACCAATCAGCATCACCGAAAGGTGTCGGCGATAGCGTGTAGCGATTGTATGGAAACCAAACTTAAAGGGTAAAGGTAGGAAATAACCTATGATTTGCAGCTCTAAAGGCTGAATTGCGCACAGGATGCGTAGACGAACTTATTCAACAACGTTCTTCTCCCCTCAGCGTCACATCATGTCGAATCAGCTGCCAAGTGGCGCACATTCATCTGTCCACAATGACAGGGGCTGAACATACCAGTACACGGGGTAATCCCCTACTATTCTCGAAGGATGTACTGGGTTCGTTAAAGTGTACATGAGGCAGTTGTGTGCAGTTGTGTACACTCGGGCTTCTCCGAGAAGACTTGTTCCACCACTAGAGCCATGCGAGCGTTCTGTTTGAACCAGCGTCGATATTATAACTGTATGTTGCGGTGCCCTTTACTCAGTCATTCTACTCTCCTCAGAGACGTCATTACGTTCTGTCTTCATGCAATCGAAAGCTTCCTATTATTATATGATGACCACAACAGCACATTGGAGAATATAGATAACAGAAGAGTAAAACATGCACATGTAACAATGTAGTTTTGTTTGGTTTGATTTACCTGGACTAGTAACATTCAGTGGACGCATTCCCTTGAATTTGTAGCAAAGACCATAATTTGTAAGGGTTTCCTGAAAATGCTCTGGACCGCACTCAATCCCATTGAACATACACCTACGATATGGATGTTAAAAAACCAAAGTACGTACAACAATTATGCAATTAGGTATTATCTTATATGGCCAGAGATGTGCTGTGTTTCTCAAGTGCAGTGTCTTTTAGAAGTACGTTTTTTGAAGCATCATGCAAGTGGTTTGTACTCACTCCATCATGGGTAAGAAAAAGTTTGCAATCTGTCTCTTATACACATCTAGATGTGTATAAGAGACAGGTTTATATGATATTGCGGCAATCAAGCCAGCTTGTGCATTTATGCATAAACAAACAAGGTTAAAGTTGAAAACAACTGCGCAGTGGTATTTAAACTGCCAATATTACGCCATTCTATATGACCCTTTCAGACAGAAAAGCGCAAGATTACCGTAATATTGCGGTAACAAAAGCGCTGTGTGAAAGGGTATAGACCGGTTATTATGCCGGCATGCTTACTGCAATATTGTGGCAATGTCTATCTGAAAGGGGCTAAAGTGTGAAAGGAATGTCAAATTTAAAAAGTATGTTGTTTTTAGTGGTTTTATCAGCAATATACATCGGACCACTTAACTTTTGGAGGACCACTTTTAAATTTTTCGCAGACCACACACGGACCTAGATGTGTATAAGAGACAGGAACAAAAGCCAATGACTCCGCAAACTGATTTGTCTCATTAAATGGTGATAATGTATTAGATATTATTTTTTAATAACAAACCAGGCAGAATAGTACCGTATATAAGTGTAACAATATGCAGTGGCAGATTCAGGGGCGTGGGGAGGAAACCGGTCCGGTCCCCCTTAATTTTTTTTTTAATGGAGGTATAAAGAAAATTGTATTCAAATTTTAAGTCTAGTGCAATTTCTGGCTATCTTGAGGTGCCATGATCACATATATGGGGCTGAGGTGGTAAAGATCCTCACTTTGTGAAAGGACCTCCCCGGGCCCACTCTATTTGAATTTCTGTATCCGCCACTAAATTATATCCAATATTAATAGATTTATCGGTTGTATCATTATTATTATTCTATTATGTATAAGCGTAATACTATACTCATGCAATGCCCTGCAGACAATTGCATTTGCTAAGAAAGATCCATTATTGAAATAGTGGTCAGAATAACACATGCAATGTAAATATTAATATACTATAGTTGCTTAAATATGATAAATGTGCCACGTGATTTTTATTTTTATAAGGAGTATAAAAAAATATATTTAGGCCCAGTTACGGTACATTAATTTCAATATTTTTAAAAGACGAAATGATAACATACGATATAATCATGTCCTCTATGCTGTGCCCATTCGATGACACAAACCCTCTCATATCAGTTCCACCAGGGTAGAGCCCATCTTTCAGGTGATGTGTGATATTGTTAGGATTGAGATTTGTTAATCCTTTATCAGGGAACAGCTCGCGGATGTACTTTAAACCTTTCGTGAAGAAATTAGCTGTGCCGTTGAACGTGGAAACAACTCGATCAAACCTGAAATCAATGCTTAAAGTTGTATACAGTGATTCTGCAGCTAGATAAATAGTCACTATATTATTTATTCATGAAAATTCAACATAATGATGATGATGATAATAATAATAATAATAATAATAATAATAATACAATGACAACAACAATATAAAAATAAAACAAATAACAATATTATTATTACTATAATAAGTTGCATCCTCCTCATCATAATCATCAAACAGTTATCATCACTATCATCATCATTATCATCCAAGTAATGATCATCATCGCCATTTAGAGGCTTTCGATTGCACGAAGACGGTAGAACGTAGAACGTAATGACGTCACAAAAATTCATCTGCGCATGCGAGAACGTTGGGGGGGGGAGGATGAGGGGGGGGGGGGGGGGGGCTAGCTCGCAAAATAAGGTGATTTGAGGTGATTTTAACTACTTGAGCGTGATTGTTTTTGCTCGGACATTTTTAATGTGGGGGGGGGGGTGGCGACTTTGAGCGTGATTGTTTTTGCTCGGACATTTTTAATGGGGTTGGAGACTGAGGGAGGCGAGCTAGATTAGACAGCGTGTCTACACATGCACTTACTTGAACATATTGTTGTTGCATATAGTAACCTGTTCAAAAGCCCACATGTGCACTTACTTAAACATATTGTTGTTGCATATAGTAACCTGTGGAAAAGCCAAAATAGTCGTTGTTTCGTGGTCGAGTTCAGTGTAAGTTGAATACGTCCGATATTCAGAAATTGAATGATAGAGCTCCTGGGCTAGGCATATAAGTGATACTGTTAAAATGATAATCCAGAAGATTCTGAAATAAGATTAATAACAAGTAAAGCTCTGTCTAGAATAAATTTCTTTAACAAAAATCTGTTGTATACCCATCATCATTATATATGTGCCTCTATATCATTATGGCCATGAAGTGTTGTCATTATAACCATATTTTCAAAAGCCCACACGTGCACTTACTTAAACATATTGTTGTTGCATATAGTAACCTGTGGAAAAGCCAAAATAGTCGTTGTTTCGTGGTCGAGTTCAGTGTAAGTTGAATACGTCCGATATTCAGAAATTGAATGATAGAGCTCCTGGGCTAGGCATATAAGTGATACTGTTAAAATGATAATCCAGAAGATTCTGAAATAAGATTAATAACAAGTAAAGCTCTGTCTAGAATAAATTTCTTTAACAAAAATCTGTTGTATACCCATCATCATTATATATGTGCCTCTATATCATTATGGCCATGAAGTGTTGTCATTATAACCATATTTAGGCATATCAAACAAATTTTAATAATCTGGACTTAAAGACAATGTGTTTTTCCACTTTGCTGACAGTACCACTTAAGACACCCTACAACACAATATACCAAGCCACTGACTGCGTCGTAAAACGGTCGTATGACCGTTATAAGACGAATCAAACTCCGCTCCATGAAACGCGCGACCGTGGCATTCAAAACAGATTGTCAAAAAAAAATTTCGCATTAAAAGGCTTCAAATTTGTTAAAAAGTTTAATTGTTTTTATTTTGTGATTCATGCTTTGTTTGGTATTTTAATACTAGACTATTTGTAAAGGATTTTTTGGTTATATAAGCTTAACATAGAAATACATAAAAAGTTAAAAATTAAAAGTGTATACTAAAAACAATACAAACTAACACACACCCAGAATTAAGCATGAAGAATGGGAGATTAAAAGGATTTTGTTAAATCAATAATTGTATTCATATTATTATTATAGGAGTGATGTTTTTCCTACCTGACGTGCCATCGTACCGAATACTCAGTACCGTACGTCCCCAAATACTTGCGAAAAAAAAGTCGCAAGTGATTCGGGCAGGAAACGAACCCACGACCTCCAGATAACTAGCCTGGCGCCATAACCTCCAGACTACCGAGCTTGCGCTTAGTGACTAGAGTTATACGATCCCCAAGTAGCAGCGGGTACTGCAAATACCATTTCCAGGACCATATTTTTTTTGCAAGCATTGGGAGACGTACCGAGTAGGCCTATTCGGTACGATAACACGTGAGGTAGAGCAAAATATCACTCTTATAATATTTTCCTGACACAAACTCACTTCGAAATGAAATAATATTATTATAACTTTAAGCAATTCTTTGCACTGTCAGAGATTCCAACGAGTTACACAATTATGGCTATTTATATCAGCATTCAAACGTTTTCTGTATGTATTAATAAATATAAAAGATGCTAAGGAAACGTTCCTACTGAAGTCATCCTTAATCCTACCAATGAGAGTATTTATTTTTATTTATTTTATTTTAGCATTTATATATCGCTCTATACTGGAGTCTCACAGCGCTTCGCTATGGTTGGATACAGAATCTATCATACACGACGTGCAGCCTCCCCTCCACTCCCTATTTCTATTTGCGTGTAATCAGCCCAGCCACGAATTTCATTCATTCGCCTCTTGCCAGGGTACCCATTTATACTGGGTCAAGGTAGGCAAATGCAGATACAGTGTCTTGCCCAATGACAAAAGCAGTGTGACGATCACCAGTCTCGAACCCCCGACCTTCTGACTCCAACGCCTTATTTTAAACGACATATTGTTATTTTCTTCGCAATTATGAATTATGACAATAAAATACTCTAGAGTTCGAGCTATAAACAATTAGTTGTGACAGTAAATCAATTTGATTAGATAATATATGCAGCAAACCTAAGATTATATATATAATTATATATATATATATATATAAGTTAAATCAATCTGCATACAACGTTGTTTCGTCCTTTAAGGACTCATCAGTGCAGCTCAGATAAATTTAACTTATAT